GGCCTGGGGGCGTGGCCCGGAGGGCGCGCCCTGCGGGTTCTGGATCCTGTCGGATAACATCGGCTTCGGTGGCCGGAAGTTGAACTTGAGGGCAGCCCGACCGAGCGGCTGCTTTCCAGGCAGAGCGCGCGGCGGCCCGCTGGGCTTTGCCTCTGGGGCTCGGGCGTGGGATCGGTTGTGGTTGTAGCTTTTGGAAAGGAGCAGGTCCCTAAAGGGCCAACAAATTCATTTTCTCAGCTCGTATTCTGGAAAATCGAGGGGCTGTCTTGCGAGCTCGCCCATTTTAAAGGCTGGGACCTGTTTGGGTGGAAGCCCTGCCCGAATTCCAGCGCTGCGCTTCCCACGGGCTACTGGTAATCCTGTCGCCCTAGGAGAGGCCCCGGTGCGGTTGTGGATTTTGGCCTGCACAGCAAAAGAAAGCGGATAATCTGTGCCAATAATAATAAACTAGCTTGCGCTTGGATTAGCCAAGTCTTTGCGGTTTGGTTTAGTTGGCCTCACATTGCATGGAGTGTGAAGAGCCTGCTCTTGAAAATCACTCCCCACCTTCTCATGAGGTCTTGCCGTTTTCAAAGAGGTTGCTCAAGTTTTGTTGGTGGCAAAAGGCTTGTGGGTTTTATCCTGGTCTGTTCCAGACAAAGACTTCTTTTTCTAGTTCTGTGTGTGAATATTTTGTAGCGTCCGAGGCTAAGTGGAAAACCCTCAAGGTGATGGATTGACACAGGAGCTGCCACAATGTCCTGGAGAGCATACCACAATTGTGAGGATTCTGACCAGACAATATTTTGTTTTAAGTCAAAACCAACTCCTTGGGGACCTTAAAAACAAGGAAGACATGCAAATGAACACAAGAGGCTTCCTTGGTATTCCTATATATAAATGCCCCATACAAAACAAAATAATGACACTTTTATTTATCTCTTGGTTAGGATAAACAAAATTGCAAAGTCTTTGATTTTACTCTGAATGTAGTGCATAAAAGCACATGAGATACTGTGTTTGACACTGAGGGTGCCCTGGTGAATAAGAGAAAGGATTCATAGATTTCTGTCTTCATGAGGCGTACATCTGGTGATTTCATCTGCTAGGTTTGTAATGCTTAGAAAGGACACAGGAGCCAGGTTTAGGAGTGTAAGGTACCGCCTTCAAAGTTTGAAACCACCACTCTCCAAGAGAGAAACAGGTCTGCAGTCGGGGAAACTCACCCTGTCCTATGGGGTCAGTATGTGTTAATTCTGATGGCGACCAGGTGTTTGGTTTAGGAAGTGCAAGTGTTGTTTATCCAACTCTTGGTAATCAAACAGATTAGAAAATATTATGGAAAGACTTCTAAATTCTAGAAAGTTGGATTTAAGGGTTCTATGTGGTTTTACTCTCACTTCATAAACAATAAATCTTGTTGCTTACATTACAATATTTGTTTGAAAACAAGTTACAGAATGTTAGCAGATTAAGATAGGTACATATTTTGCTGGATTAAGTACTCCACAATTTGTAAGGCCATCAGGTACAAATAAGAATATTACAGATTTCAGGAAACTCAAATTTTAGCATGATACCACAAATCTAAAAATTATATATGCTAAAGTAGGTTATATGAATAAGTTGAATGAGTGAACTATTTATAACAATATTAGAATCAGAACAAAAAAAAAAGAATCAGAACTTATGAGCTACTTCTCAGATAATGACCCTTCACAAAAAACTTTACATATTGGTATAGGTGTCAAATGCAACCATATTTTAATTACAACAGAAAGAAAATAAATAAAGCTTTCTCTCAATATGTTTTAGCAATGGCATAAACCAAAATGAACAACCATGAAACACATGTAGTTATTAAATCTGTGAAAGTATACAAGGAGTCTTCAAAAAGGTTGTGGGAAAATCCCTTATTTTTTCATTCCGTTGGTGCATGAGCCCTTTGAACCTTCCGCAGATGTATGTGTTTATTTTTCTAAGGGACTTCGTGAGTGGCTTTTAGGAAGAAACCTTAAAACACAATAAACTGAAAATGTCTCATGTTTGTTTTGGCTGTATGTAGCTTTAGTGATAATTGGGGGTAAATTATGCTATCTTTACATAAAATGGTTATTGTACAATTTCTCCAATTTTTTTCAGAGTCAAACATGGATCAACTTAAGAATCAAGTAGTTTATATAAAATACAATGGTCTTCTGCTCTCTTCTTGCACTCCCTTTGAGTCCTGATCCCTAACGGCACTCCTTTAAAACTCAGAGCTGTTTTTCCAATTCTTCCTCTCTCTATTTCTGTGTAGCTGTGAATCAGAAGGGTCCATGGTTTAGTGTGTGCTTGCATGGGATCAAAGAGACAACGAGACAACGCGACTGTTAGGGCCCTTTGGACTTCTTTCCAACTATCTCCCTTCAATAAACTCACTCTTTATGTTAAAAAAAAACAAAAACCAAAGTGACAACAGCAGCTCAGATTAGATAGGAACCTTGGAGGGCAGTGAGTTTAAGGAGGAACAACTCAGAAAAGGCGGGTGGTGAATGTAATCACCATCACGAAATTGTACATAGAGACACAGCAAGATAGACACCAACACAACCGTGTCTACGTGTATTTTGTTCTAACCTGGTCTTGTTGCTGTTAGACCTGTGACATCACTGTCATCCTCAGATTTCTCCTCGTCATTTTCTTAGGAATTTGTGCCTCCTCTCTTCTATGTTCATGCTTTTATTTCTTGGTGGTCTTTCTATTCGATTTACTGGAACATATTCATATTTAGCTTCCTGGGAGAGACTGGCTAGGAAGTAAATTTTTATATATTATGTATTGTCTGAAAACAACTTTATTCTACCTTTATGCTTTCTACCTTGGCTGGGTTTAAAATCAAAGGTTGGAATACTTTTTTGTTCAATTTGAAGTCATTGATCTTTTGAAGTCATCGATCAATTATCTTCTAGCTTTCAGTTGGCATTGGAATGGTAGTGTGATACTTTTATGATTCTGGAATCTTTGTTTCTTCTCCATAACACTTATTGGTCCTTCTCTGTATTCCTGATATTCCAACATTTTAGTATCTGATGTACCTTTAGGTAAGTTTTGCTTTAGTCATTGGCTTGGTCGCTGGCTGATTGCATCAACTGGAAATTGATGTCCACAGGTTCTGAGAATTCCCTCTGCCCCTAACCCTTTGATATTGCTTATCTTTCCCCCCCTAATCTTATGCTCTTTATTTTTTTGTTATCCTTCCTAAAATAGTTCTTCAAAAGTATCTCTGGATTTTATCATTGTGTATTGCTGCTATTATATATTTAATTTCTTTTTTTTAATATATATATTTAATTTTTAAGCGAGTTCTTTCTAGTTCCTTTTTATTTGTTAATGGCATCCTGATCTTTCATCTCTTGGATATTGGTTATCATTTTAATTTATTTTTTACCTATTCCAAAGTATATATGAACCATATGCTTCAGAAAAATGTACTTCATCAGAATACAGTTATTAATAGAGCCAGCGAAGGAGATATGGAAGCGTATAAATATAAAACAATGGTCTTACTTTTGGGAATATAATCTTTTTTTTCTGGGAAATAATATATTTACGTGATATGATCATTCAAAATGTAAGTTAATTAATAATACTAAATGAAGGGGATTGGAAATAAAAGTTCAGGTGGAGGGAAAAAATCTTTTCGTGTCAGATACTTTGGAAGAACTAAGCCATACGCTTCTAGTTAGAGCACATGCTGATTACCTTTCACTTAAGAAATCTAAAATATATCTCCAGCTCTCAAAATTATTATTTTTTAGATGATCTTTTTTTCTTAATTAGGGCCTATCTTTTATTTGGTCCCATCTTGGGCTTTTTATTTTTATTTTCCAATTACTATCTCATCTCTCAAGTCTTGCTTTTACACACTCTTTATCTTTCTCCACTATTTCCTGTGGTTACCACCTGCCCCCCTAAGTTTTTACCACCTTACTACTAGAGAATAGCAATATTCTAATTATGCACCATCCTATAAATCTTCTGGTTGGCATTAACTCATATGAGCTATCATTTTTAAAGCAACAACAACAGCAACAAAACATCTTCTACTGTAGCCAGCTCTAAGCAGAACACTGCAGAGGTATGGGGCAAAGTACCTGCACCTGCATTTGTCATTGCCTAACTTTCCTTTCAAGGTAGGCGCTAAAATTCAGAGCTAAAATCCAGTTTCCATGTGATTCAGATTGTCCTGGCTCACATCCTCAAATGCATATGCAGAAACTCCAGCCTCCTGCTAAATACATCTCCCACTCAATTATTTCTGAAAGCCCCCATAAGGAGTCTCACACCTGTTCAGAAGCAAATCCAATCCTATAATATTGCACCAGGTGCTCCTTCTCCTCCGTGCTGCTTCCCCAGGTGCTAGTCTGTCCTGCTGGTGTCACAGGTACAAGATGGTGAATGGAGGGTAAGGACCCTCTTTGCTTTTGTTGTAACCTTTATACGCTCTCTTATTAGTGAAGTATTCCTCTCAGTTTCAC